TAATGAGTAAATATGGTGGTATTCATTAAATCACACCCATATATATATTTTGATGTGAAAGCGCTTCATTTAAACGGGTAGTCACAACTTTAACTCAAGTTTCAACTTTATTCAAGTTCATGTTCTTTTAAGTTTCAACTTTATTCAATTTTACTCAACTTTATTCAAGTTACAACTTTAACTCAAGTTATAACTCAAATTTAACTCAAAAACTACATTCAAGTTACACTCTAAAAGAACAACCCCGAAATAACTTTAACTAAACTGATACACCACCACTCCGGGCAGCATTTGACCTTTTCAAGAATATCAATACCACTCTTGATCCTTTATATGACTACCAGTCTGACGATGTATCAATATATTCAATGCAGGTACTTTGATCCTTTACGTTATGTACAAGCAAATCCACCTAACTTGGCAAGGAATAAATACATAAATAAATAAATAAAAGAAAGTTTAAAAGTGTAATAAGAACCCAAACCAATCTAATAATTGGGATTCAACTTATAATTAGTTAGTCAGATTTGACCTTTAGTCTATTCAACCAAATGGAAGTGAGTCAATGGACAAGCGTCCCCCGTAACCTTTACAATAGAGGTTTAACAAAATCACATTACCACATATTTTTTGCTTAGAAAAAGCTAAAGTTGAAGAAACTAATAAAGTTGAAGTAAATTATATACTTATATGACTATCATCTAAAGTCAAGAAATTTGTCAATTGTTTTTGTTATTTCGGGGTTAAAATGTCTTCAAACTTGATATTGAAAATCCAAAGCATAAGGAGACTTTTTTTTTCCTTCCTTTTTTTTTATTTTATTTTGATTTGGAATAGACTTTAGATTTTTTTTTTGAAACAAAGACTTTACATTTTTTTTCTCTTTCTTTTTGGAATAAACTTTATATTTTTTTCTATTTTATTTTGATTTGGGATAGACTTTAGATTTTAGATGCATGTAATTTGGTCAGAATCCAAAAAAAAAAAAAAAAAAAAAAAGTGAAGTCTTTGATTTTGATCAGCAAGAAATCCAATAATAATAATAATAATAATAATAAATAATAATAAATAAAGTTTCCGCGTTGTGCAAGTTCTCAAAGTCAAAATGGTTCAATTAAGATCCGCGTTTAACAAACTTTCGAGAACAAGGTGAACAGTCAAAGGTCTTTCATTTTTCTCCCTCGTGTATCCACAAGGATACATGGAACAAAAGAACATAAAAAATGTACAGTACGAGAAAAAACAAGGACGGCGGCGCTAGTTTTTAGTTGAAATACAGATGCAAATAACTAAAATTTTATTTATCGTAAAAAGTCAAACGTTGCATGTGTTTTAGTAAAAAATCAAATATATATGATTATTTAAGATAAGCAAAAATTTTATTGAAAAGAAAGAAAAGAAAGGGTCTAACAAAACTAAAACATAAAAAAACCTGAGAAAGAGGAAAATTAAAACCAAAAGCAAGCCCAACAAAATTAAAAATGAAAAAGTAAAAAATAACCTAAAAGAAAAATTTAAACGTTTTCTCGTTTTGAAGACATTTCCTTAATGACGGGTCATTAAGATGCAGCAGTTGCAACAAATCTGGTTTGTAAAGTAGGGAATGATGACTCTACAATATGGTTCATGAGGTAGGGAATGACGTGTTTGGAAAAATGGTATTTTGAGATACCATTTCATGCTTAATTTTGAGTGGGACCTACTTTGGATTAATGACGGGTCCATATGAATTCTAACTACAAGCAACTGGTACAATAACGATGCTGTTGTTGTTGCTAAAAGTTAACCTATATTAGGGATGACATATCGATGTTAAAGTTTTAACATGTACACTTGAGAGTATACACTTCAAAATTTTACATAGTAACAACATATATCGTCACTAAAAGTCTCAATAATTATTTAGACAGCAAAAAATGAAGAATATGCCATTTTTAGTAGCAACATGTGTCGTTACTAATAATGTTTTCCAAAAATACAGCTGAAATTGCAGTGGGAAATAAAAACGGGTTCCTGATTTTTTTTAGGCCTATAGCGACAACAGTTAAGACAACAGTCGTCGCTAAAAGTTGTGGTGTTGGTGTTTTGATGGTTTGGATTATTGTTGATTATTTTAATTTGTTTGTTTGGTTGAATTTGATATGTTAATTTGATTAATAAGTAAGGTTTGTTAAAGATGTTAGTTTTGTTCAATTTTTTAGTTTGGTTTAATTTGTTGTCAATGTGTTGGTAATTTTTAAAATATGTTGGGTTCGTTGAATATGTTAGTTTAGGTTTGTGTCATTAATAATAATCTTTTCTCTTAATTACAGGGTCAGATGGTTGATGAGAGGCAGACTCAAATGGTTGGTAAGGTCACCATTCGTGAAAATGGGCTTGGGTCGCGTAGGAGTCATCAAAAGAGAGTGGGACTTAAAATCCCTTGGAGACAGAAGGGTTCTACTTCTTCCTCTTCTAGATCGCAATCTGGGTTCCAGCAGACATAATTATCTCCTCATCTGTAACAGTGGTTTGCACGGATGTACAACAGCAACTTGGAGCTGGCTGCTGCAATGAGACATATGAATCCAAGAGTTAATGTTAACATCCCTCCACCCTCGCCGGGTTTTATGAAAAAGAAGTAGTAATGTAAACCTAGGAGATTAGACTTTATATATTTGATTATGTGTTTTATGTTGGTTTTCGAAACGATTTTAGATGCGGAAGCGTGTGTTTAGCGGATCGTGTATTACACAAAATTTTCATAAAATTTTGAAATGCTCTATAGATTATATTAATTTGTGCACGAATAAATTAATCAAATTAATTTATTTACCTAGTGAACGATTAGGTCAATAATTTGGGTTCTTTGAACACGAACGTTTCTCGCTCTAAGCTAGTTTAGAACACCCAAATCTTCCTTATCAATTTCTTGAATCCACGAAGACGTGTGTGTGGGCACACTTAAAACAAAACAGGATTAGCAAATAACACTCAAGTTTTTCATGAATACCAACACATGCACGACGTGAAATTTTGGGAGAAAATTTTTCCTTTCCACACACTCTATAATTCGGCCACCTATGCTACGGAGAGCAAAAATTGTCTACTCCAATTTTCTGCAATCTCTTATTTATAGAGTAGCAGTTAGACTCTCAAAAGAAGTCTAATCTTTATCTCTAAGATAAAACTTGATAATTATCTCTCACTTCTAATTTGATTTTTGAAACAAAATCCCTCTCTCCTTTATCTTATATGGCCGGCTACCACAGGGAGATTCCTCCCTATGGTTGGCACAATTGCAGCTAAGGAATAGGATAAAATTCTGCATTTATCTTGTAGTCCAATTTTGACTCAAATTCAAATTCCAATTTAAGTCTAACTTACATCAATTTAAATTTCAAATTGAACAACTTATCAAATAAGTTAATTAGATAACTTGGAAAATAAGCAACTGAATCCCAGACGGATTCACACTGCACTGGGTGCTCACACTATGTGATGAACACCTTCACATGTGTGTTCCAAAATTAAAATTTAAACTTAAATAATCACATTATTTAATTAATAATTAATTCTTAATTAATTATCCTTGAGCGTTTTATTTTAGAATTTCATAATTCTAAAATTCTCATTTTGCCCTTAATGTCTTGTAGGATTACAAGGACGACGCGGGGACTCATCTCGAGCTCCAATAAAATTAATAATTAGTTAAATACTTTAATTAATTAATTAATTATATTAATTCAACAGTTACTCCACTATAAACTTGGAATTGCACTCTCGTAATTATAGACATAAATTACTTATGAACTGTGAAGTGTCCATTTAGTATAGTCATTACATATAGATCAATTCTCCATAACAATTCATAATTAGAGCTAGGTGAAATCTATTAACCTCTCTAATTATATCTTTATCCTTGAGTGCTATTGATTCTCTAATGGACAGTGATTCATAAAGTAAATTCATTGATCCTCTAAGCTTTTTAACTGACAGACTTTTAGCGACAACATGCTGTCGATTGTCGCCAAAGAGGTTTTAGCGATGACTTCTCAAGTTGTAGCGACCACTTTTGCAGTCGCTAAAGGAGTTATTTCATGTTGTGTCTTGTTCTTTTTTGTGAAGATATCGAAATGATAATTTTACATGCTCAAAATGATGCACATATGAGTGTGAAATTGACTCGCAAAAGGCATGTGTGGTGTTGAAAATAAAAAGGAAAAATGATTGTCCTGCATTTTGAAAAGAGAAAGCACACTTGTTTAAATAAAGGCGCGTTTAGAACCCGTTCTAAAATAATATTATTATTTGTATCAAATGGAAATGTAAACGTCTTCAATTTCAGGCAGAAAGCATTTTTGAAAATGCGTTTAGTAATTTTATTGAGAGATTATTTTCAGTATAAGAAAAAACAGAAACTCCATTTTGTTATACATATTTAAAAACATCTAATAGTATTTTAAAAAATATATTAATTAAGAAAGTGAAAATATTGCTTTCTTATATATCTAAAGAAATGACCATTAATGTCTTAGAAGGAAGTTTCCAACTCAAGCACGTCTCTGCATGCACTTTAGCTCTTTTTTATGTATATATGTGTCAGCTGCCACTTGGGAAGCAAGTACAACGGATAATTGTCCATTGTATTGCCATGATTAGACTATCTCTCTTTACACTCGAGGGAGGGAAGAGAAAATGAAAATAAGAAATGAAAAATTATTACAAATCATTTTTAGAAACTCTTCCATTTTACGTGAAACCATAAAGGTGTTCTTGTTTTCCTTTTTTGTCTTTGGTTGCTCCAAATGCCATTTTCTACTCATTTTCATTTTTTTTCTCTCGAAAAACGGGAAAAACGTTTTTGTAATGAATTCCAAACATGCTGGAGATCTCATATTTTCTTATAGGTAAGATCATAAGTGTTAATGCAATAGTTGACTTTGGGTGTTTTCTGATTGTGTAGTTAGTGTAATGGTTGACTTTGGATGTTTCTTTTTCTAATGTTCTGTAATCTCTATAGAAAGACTCTAAGCATACTTGTAATACACACACAAAAAGTATAGAAATACAATTCTTTTTTCTTCTTTATAATGGTATCAGAGCGTTTTCTTTTTCTCCGTTTCTCCCGAAGGTGAATTGCCTTGGGAAAACCGTATTAAAAAAATTTGCAGAACCACAACCAAATCCAAAACGTTCTGCCCGCCTATCCTTCGTCGCTGATGAACCACGACTCCATTGCTGTGAGTTTTCAATCATCTTCTCCGTCGCGCCACCGGTGTCAATCCGACTCCATCGCCTCGAGCAATCCCAATCCCATGTCCATCCAGCAATCCTACCTCGGCGTTGTCACCGTCGAAGGCCGCCATAGTCAAAACTTGGTATGTCTCTCTTCAATCTGTCTTCTTTTCTTTAGATTTTCTTATTTGTGGCTTTAGAACTTTGGTTTTCTTTTCTTTTCTTTAGAACTTGGTCTTCTTTTGTTCCTAATGTGGGCTGGTTTTAGAGAAGTAAAAGAGAGAAAATAATTCTTTCTATTTCAAAAAGAGAAAAAAAAAAGGATGACAACTATTCAAAAAGAAAATGCCCAACCAATTTCAATTATACTTGATGGGCATAACTACAATCGATGGGCGACAGCTATGCGGAGTTATTTGAAAGGGATGAAACTGTGGCTTGTTATCACTAGAGACAGAACAACACCAGTCAAATAGGCGGGAGAAACTGATGATAAGTATGTCGGTCGACTCGAGTAATGGGAAAGCAAGAATCATCAGATTCTTACAATGTTCACCAATACTATTGTTCCTTCAATCAATGTGCACTTTGGGCATTTTCAACTTGCAAAAGAAGCTTAGGACTTTATTGCCATGCGGTATGGTTCTACTACCCTCTCTCATCAGTATCATCTTATGACTACTTTATCCCGACTTCGTCAAGAATTTGATCAGTAAGTTCCTTTCTCCTCGATCGACTCATTTTGATGTCTTTCTTCGTATAATGAGATATGTAAAGGGTATTGTGTTTCATGGATTGCATTTCTCATCTAGCTCTTCTTTGGATTGAGAATGTTATCGTGACGCAGATTGGGCAAGGAATCCTACAAATCGTCGCTCTACCACTAGCTATTGTTTCTTTCTTGGTTCATCGCTTATTTCTTGGCGAAGTAAAAAGCAAACTGTTGTCTCCCGCTCAAGCACTGAGGCTGAATATCGAGCTCTTGCTGATGCAACATCCAAACTACTATGGTTATGATGGCTCCTTCAAGACATGGGTGTTTTTCTCGTGAAAACACTCATATTCATTGCGACAATCAGAGTACTTTTCAGAGGGCTCATAATAATGTCTTTCACGAACGCACTAAACATATTGAGATCGACTGCCACTTCATTCGTCATCATTTGCTCAGTAAAACTCTACAGCTTGTTCATGTTGCCCCTACATCCCAAAAGGCTGACATCTTCACCAAGTCAAATCCACCTAGTCAATTTATTGCTCAAGTTTCCAAACTCAAATTGGCTTCTACAATGCCATCTTGAGTTTGAGGGGGGATGGGTTAATGCAATAGTTGACTTTGGATGTTTCCTGATTGTGTAGTTAGTGTAATGGTTGATTTTGGATGTTTCTTTTTCTAGTATTCTGTAATCTCTATATAAAGGCTCTAAGCATACTTATAATACACACAAAAAATATAGAAATACAATTCTTTCTTCTTCTTTATCAATAAGCATAAAGGCTCTCTCCTACGCGTGCAAGGGATGCAAGTCATGGACCGTCGAACCAAAGGACTAGAAATTAAGCTTACATTGATTCTGAGTTAGTGGTTATATCTCCTTTGACCCATAAAAGGGACCACTATTTTTCATACGAGGCCCCCCACCCACTTAAAGTAGACAATTAAGCAAGAGTAGTATTGTTGTGTGCCCTTATTGCTAGTACGCCATTGTATCATATGAGCCAGATGCCAAACAAACCTCATGCACGTATAGTATTGATGGGAAATTTTGCATTAAGGACAATATGTGAACACAGGCCTCAGCTCCTACTCGTTCACCATTTCGTTTACGTTTTTACAGCTTTCGCTTTTGTTTCAATTGTTTGTATTTCATTGATCCTGATTCTACAAGACCATACTGGATTACCCCGCGGTAGCCTGTTAGGTTACCGGTTTGAAACTTGTAATTTTACTGAATATGCTAGAGTTTGTATTGGTGTATTGTGAAGAAAATGTTATAATGCTCACGAAAATAAAGACGCGGAGGTTTCATAGTGGTTCACCCTTCTAAAAAAGAGCTACATCCACTGTATTATATTTCTCTTGTTTAGTTCTTACAAATCACACAAATGGAGAATCATCCAACTTTTCTCTTGGGGGTTTTCCCTCTTTTATAGCCTACATTCCATCTGCGCCTTGCCCAACGATAGGTTGTTTGGACCATTTGACCGTGTCTTCCAGGGGGTCCATTCACTCGAGTGGCCTATTATCTCATTTGTCTAGACCGTAGCCTGTCAGCACCTTTTGGACTGTTCACTCATCTAATTTGTCCCCCATTACGGCTCTATAGATCCTCTGTAATAGCTAGTGATCCGTTCCAGGCGATTTTTAGGGGCTTGTGATCATTTCTTGTGCAACTGACCTCCTATAAACCCAGACGCAATCTTGGGATATCCAGCTGATTACCTCAGGGGTCTTCCTTGGGATGTGGGTCCAGTTGATTACATTTTGCCCTCTACGCCTATGCCAAAATTTGCCATGCATGGCCTTTCTCTTGGTCGACCCTATCATGTTACTTGTATGAACTGGTCTCGCAGACTATGTATAGGTTACTCGGCTCCCATACCATATGGGAGAGGAAAATGAGACTCAGGCATCGAGGCCTATCTAACGTGATAGGCGTGGGGCCACGTGTGGCATGATCATTGTTTGACGTGTCAGTGTGAATTTTTCCAACAACTGCCCCCCAGGTAGAGGCTTTTCTTCGGACTGCCTCGAGCTAGGTCTGGGATCTGTTTTGGCTCTTCTTTTGTTTGCTTCGGGCATGGGAGCCTGACTCTGAACCTTCTCGTAATAATGGCCCTGGCACTTTGGCAACCCCTTGAGAAGCGTAAATGTTGCGTTTGTTCAATCGTAATGCTGACGTGACCTTTTATTTAAACAGATGAACATGGGCCATTGGATCGTGACTCCTTAGCTTCTCGCCCTTCCCCTAGCCGTCGGATCAAGCTCCCATGCTTTCACCGTTAGATGCATTCATACCTGATCGGACAGCTGGGAGTCAAAGGCTTTTGGTTACTATAAATGGTCTCTTCGTGTGTCTGAACCACTCGAAACTGTTTTAGAGCAGCCGAAACTCTGCAAAAATTTCTCCATGACCACTCACTTCCTTCTTGCCATTTTGTAAATCCCCAGCAACATTTACCTCAACAGCTCGTGCATCCCTTCCACTTTTGATTTCCTGGTAAGCATCCCTCAAACCTTCTCTCCACTTCTGATATGTTTATCATTTCTGGTCTTATGGTGGATTATTTCTTAAGTGGTGGGAATGGTTGGAAATGGAATAATAGGGGTGTTAGAACCTGATTTTGACATTATCCGCCATATTCTGGACTGGCTATAGGAGTTTTAAGCGAGTCTGGATTTCCGTTTGGCATTCTGGGTTAGTTTGAATGGTCATCGCTTTGTTTAAGTAGTCTCCAGCTAGTTAATGCCTAGGCTCGAACCATCATCGCTTATTTGAACCGTCGTCATTTTAACTTTTTAACTTTAACCGACCAAACATTTTTATCTTTAAGCGGTGAGCTATCTTCCTTTCCCCCTCTCGACTTATAGGAATTGACCTTAGATTTTTCCTTCACAGCAATGGTATATAGAGGGATTAAGTGTCGAGGGGGATCATCATATGTGCCTCTTGTGAGGCCAGATCCAATGCCAGCCGCCGAGTCTTCCTCACATTCTACGGCCAGCGACCCACTCTTGAGGGAGGTCCTCCTGGGTTGGCGGCGTTCCCTTCGGCAGCAGCGGCCGACACATGGGTGTCCCTGTGGCCTTAATACGGGCAGACGAGGATCGTCCGCCCTTCACAGCCGACTTCGTGGCACCGAAGACACGGCAGAGAGATATCGTCCGTGCACATAAGAAGGGGCGCTTGGACGGCCGATGGTTTGAGTATCTCCTACCGGACCCCCACTTTAGGGCGAGCCAACCACCCCTGGGTTATATGTCTGTATATACCCGGGCCTTCACGGCGGGGATGGCACTCCCCATACACCCGTTTGTGAAGTCCCTCTATGATCTCCGCGACATCTCCCCCAAACAGCTGGCCCCAAACTTCTGGTATATTTTTGCCAGTATATGGATTCTTTAGGACCAAAGGTTTTACATAGATCTGTCTTTGGACGAGTTCCTTTTCGTATATAAGCTCTGTCAGGTCCCTAAATGTGACGGCTGGGATTTTTTAGGTGGGCACGAGCGATCCAAGCCCGTCTTAGGAAAACTAAGAAGGGAGTTGCCCTCGTCGTCACATGCCTGGAAGCCAATGTTTTTTATGGTGAAGGGTATGTTCAACGTTCACTCTGCTGATAAGCCATTTAAGCGCCTGGGTGTGCAAACAACTTTTGGGACACTGAGTGAGTTTCCTTCGAACGTCTATTACAACTGTAAACATTTTTTTTACCGCTGACCCTATTTTACTTTCTGTAGTTTCCCAGGATCGTCCCCAACTTTCTGGGAACCGGCTTGCAAGGGTGAAGTAAGCCTTCAGCTTCCCCGAGACCAATCGTTTTGTCAGCATCTTGTTAATGCGTGATAACTTGGAAAGTTCTGGCCGGTTGCTTTCTCTCCCTCATCCCGACAACACCGCCGAGGTCAAACATTTCTTCAATTTCACAGCTGGAGGTTAGTTTTCTCTTGCCCTTGATTCCTTATTATTTGTCGACCGTATAAGTTTCTAACTTCAAGTGTGATGCAGAGATGAAGACCCTGCAACTGTTGTTGGTCTCCGAATCGAATTCGGATGCGGACGCGTGGTGCGGGGGGAGGCGGATCGTGTATAACAAAAATTTCATAAAACTTTTGAGATACTCTTTAGATTATATTAATTTATGCATGAATAAATTAATCTCATTAATTCATTTATTAAGAACTCAATTAGGAAAAATACCTGGAGGCCGACTCGGTTAATAACTTGAGTTCTTTGACCTCGAACAATCCTTGCTCCAAAGCTTTGTGTTTAGAAAACCAATGTCTTCCACGTCAATTCCTAGAATCCACGAAGACGTGTGTGGGCACACATGAGACAAAACGGGTTACAATAAACACTCGAATTTCCACAAACACCAACGCATGCACGATGTGGAATTTTTAGAGAAAAAATTTTTCCTTCCTTTCTACCAAGGGAATTTCGGCTAGCCCCCTTCAAGTTAGGTTAAAAAATTATCTCGCGTAATTTTTCATCATATCTTATTTATAGAGTAGAAGTCAAACTTCTAGAAGGAATCAAATCTCTATTTCCAATTTGAATTTCGAACCACAATTCTCCTCTCTCTTTTCTTCTTATGGCCGGCCAACCCTAAGGGGATTTTATCCCTGTGTAGGTGCCAATATCAGATAGGGAAGGAAGAGAAAAATCATCCTTTATCCTGTAGTCCAATTTTGACTCAAATTCAAATTCCAATTTAAGTTAAACTTAAATTAATTTGAATTCTAAATTCAACAACTTATCAAATAAGTTTAAATGGATAAATCTAGATGTGTTCAAATTCAAATTTAAATAATCACATTATTTAAATAATAATTAATTCTCAATTAATTATTTTCGAGTATTTAATTTATAGAATTCCTTAATTCTAAAATTTCCCATTTTACCCTCTGTGTCTGGTAGAATTACTAGGACGACGCGAGGACTAATGGACCTATAATCCCGAGCTCCAATAAAATTAATAAT